CTCTCTCTCTCTCTCTCTCTCTCTCTCTCTCTCTCTCTCCCCCCTCCTTCCCTCCCTCCCTCCCTCCTCTCCCATTCTGGACCGTCCATTTTCGCCCCGTTTGATTTGTTTTTCACTCGTCGACCGGATTTCGGGACAACTCGGTCAAATCGTTGGGGAATCGTTGGTCAATGCTCGGGAAGCGACTCACATTTGCTTCTGTCTCGGATGGAACTTTGATTTCGACGTGCGATCAGGAAATGAGGAGAAGAAAGAGGAGACTCGTTCTTCGCATGTAAATTCTTCCGCTCGATGTACTGGCGTTTTAGAGCGTGCGATTTCTTATGCAGTATATTTGAAAGATATTTCGAGCAACTTCGACCTGCTCCGCCCACACTCTTGTTCGATTGTCAGTAGTATTTTCTATCTGATCTTTTATCTGATTCTTCTGATGAGGTTTTGACGAGTAGGTTTTGACAGTAGCTGCGACTCCCTAAAACGTTCGCAGTGCCGGAGACGAAATTCTTTTTCATCTTAGCTCTTAGCATCTCAAACGAGATACGTAACGCGTCATTTTTTCGCTCCGTTGAATCTGACTGGGGCGTCTCTCGAAAATTAGCGATTCAAAAAATGTTTCTGTTAAGTAGGATGTATAGATACTTCAATTGGAAAGAAATTGCATAATGCTTCTCCGTGTCTCTCCAGTTCCTCTATAAAAATGTTGACTCAACCGTATGAACTAAATCGCGAGAACACAGTTCACATCTTCGACATAACCTTGCCGAATCGCAAGCAAGAGTAACAGGAGGGTACGTTGTCGCATCTGAATGCAAACTACCACAAGCGTACCTTTTATTCTTTTCTCGATCGCGAGATGCTAGCATATTCTGCATTAAAATAACTTTTTAGTATGATTGTATCGCATGACGGCTATCTGTATTCTTCACGGGGGAAGTTATTTGAATCAACGTTTACGCGTCGTTCCGTCAATTATCAGAGTTATAAATTTATAATTTTTATATATTTCCCTGCAGATATTATGAAAATAAGTATACGATAATTCTTCCAATATCAAAGAATCGACAGTTTAAAAGCTGCGCGTATATTTTCTCCCTTAAAGGGAATATGATGTGATGCAAAACGCTTTTCTCTCTTAAAATTTTTTTGAAATGCCATTGCTAGAAAATAACTTTAATGACGCCTTTGTGATCAATAATTAACAAAACACTCCTTCCAGTCGCAATTATCTCATAAAGATGAGTCTCCCTGGTAAAGCTCGATTAGCATTGCAGGTTCTCATTTCGCCAAATGGCGCGGGTCGTTCGCGAGCAGAAAAGCAGCTTCCCTTTCCTTGTAAAAGAATTTCATGACTTTTTAACTAGGCCAAGCTAGAACTCGGCATCGATCTTCTCGCATAACGGGGCTCGCACTCTCCTCAAGCGAAGTCCCAGAGAAGGGTATTAAACGGTACGGCGAGAATTATGCCGAGTTGCCGACGTGATCGTTACCCTGCCAATTAAGTTTAACGTGTAATTAAGCACTGCAACGCCGCGTTGAGACACTCTCGAATGCAACATTCGAAATGCGACACATTCCAAATGTCTACCTTCGACCCGACTTTGGCCGGCTATTTACGGAGGTTACCGGATGCGGATAATCGGAATTAGGTTTTTGCGACGCTTCGATTAAACGGCGCGACGCATTTTTATGGGACTTGTTCGATTTAATATTCCCACGGTTGATAGTCCACTTTTTCGTTTGTGTGAGACTTTAGCAATGCCAAAGTGTCCTCTCTGCATTTCGCTTACTGAGATCGCTGTAAGTTTAATGGGCTCGACCAATGACGCTAACAAGCGGTTCGACAGTATTGCGAAGCATTTAAATACTCATTTCAATTAATTAGCGAGAATCCCGGCTCTACAGGATCTATCGGGGAAATTTGCGTGCGATTGAGAAAGCCAGCTTTCTTAGTCTGCGTCGGACTCTGTCGGCGTGACTCAATATTTTAACAATAATGATAAAAACGAGCCGAATCGAAATTTTAATCCTACCTTCAATCTCTAATCTTTCTAATCTCTTATCTTTCATATGTCTGAATTGTCAATATATGTTTAATATACATGGAAATTGAAGTCCCCACTTGGCGCCTTTAACAAGTAAACCTACCCAAAAGTTACACTCCGATTTCTTTCTAATTTGGCACAAATGTAGAAGTATAAAAAATATTTAGGTCATATTTTTTCATATTGACCCACTTTGATTTTTAAGGCAGTTTATAGTTTTTTAATGTTCTTATAAGTGGCAGAAAACACAAAGTGCCACTTGCAAAGTTGATGTAGGCTTTAGAGTATTAAAGTAAGAGTTGAAAATGGAATATTGAGATCAAAAGTAGGATCAAAATCTCACATATTTGAGTCAATCCAGGGCTTCGTCATCGAAGTCGAAATTGCCGGATTTTCGAGTACTTCGTGTTCATCGTGAAATAATTACTAGATATATAATAGATTTATAATAGATTTCTATAAATATGAGATTTATAGAAAAGCCGTAGCGAAAAAACTCGATATGCTCACGGGATGCTAATAATCGTTCACAACCCAAATCCAATTAACAATAATATCGTGATCATTGATATAGAGCCACTCTTTCTTATGAGGCGCGACCGACCCCTGAGCATAATTGCTTCATTCTCGGATCATTGAAGTTTTACAACTGACTTGATCTTTCGTCGACAGAAGAACGACGAGAGAGAGAGAGAGAGAGAGAGAGAGAGAGAGAGAGAGAGAGCACTATTCCGGGGTCGGGTCATCGACTCGGAAGTTCACGAACGCACATCCTCGTGTCGAGTTCCAGACGGAAAGAGTGGCCCGAGCCAGCAGTAATTGAAATGCGAGAATCATTGCGACCCGGTTGCCGTCGGTTCTCCGTTCTCTCGGAAGACGCCACCGCCGTGGCCGAATTTCCGCCGTTTGCTGGTCGGAGCACGGACGCGGAGTAGACTCCGCTCTTATTACAGCTCTTGACTCATTTTTCACGGCGATTCGCACACAGGTAACTCTTCCAGGCGGTTTATCGCGGGAATTCCGACTGGCACGCTTCCCGCCGCGATAAATCGACGAATAAATGAGCGCCGCGACGATAGAGCGAGTCCGGACGGATTCCTGATAAAGTCGAACGCGAAATCTTCTTATTTTTCGACGATTTATTTGTTGAGCCGCGTTTTGAAGTGGGGGAATGTCAAGGTGCGTCACTCTTGTCTGCCATTTCCTCGTGTTTTCTGTTATCACCTGGTGCGATAGTACTTGCGCGACCGCGGTGTCATCCAACACGGAATATCGAGTGCGTCGTACTCATTGTTCGCGAAAAGGTCGCTCGGCCAAAGCAATTCTCTCTCAGAATCTTGTCGAGTTTTCAACTTTTTCAGATTCCTCCCTTGCTCTCGCGCTGCTCCTCGAGAATATCGAGGATTCCGCGAATTCATTTGTGAGGTATTAAGAAAGATCACTAGACAAATCCTAATGTTCAATACGTAATCGTTCAGTCATGATGTGCTTGACGAGAATACTTTTGTCTGATATACCCGTGGAAAGAAACCCGTGAAGAGAAAGTAAAAGAAGAACTCGACCGAGTGTCGCGAATTCGCCGTGGAAATTTGCGTCTGCTGAGCCACGTCATCCTCGCCCGACGATTAGCCGATCACTCGACAACGCGTTTCTCGTTACTCTGAAATTACTTATCGCACGTTGCGGCAGTTTTTAACGTGCAGCGCTGTGAGAGCGTGTGAGGGGGTGGAAAAACGAAAAGAGCAGATTTCGTGCAATCTCGAGGTCGGCTTTTTCCTCCCGCGATAGACTAGGACGCAAGGTCAAACTTTGATTAAGCGCCAGTTGGCACGTCATATAATTCGGGAACTCCGTCGTCGGTGGTTTCGATCCTCCACCTCTCACCCTGACCGCTGTTCTGTTATCGTTTTGTCGAAAGACGGAATGCAGTTACCGCATCCTCGGTGCTCCAATTTCAAGGATACTGTTCACAACATTATCAGCGTGTTGGGTTATCATGTGTGTCGTACGTGCGTCGCTGTCGCCGCGGTATTTACTTGACAGGTGTCGGTGCACGTAGGATACTCAGGTGTCGGGTCATCTTTATGTGCACGTTGTTGCTACACATGTAGCATCGTCATCAGATAGCGGGAAGATGTATCCGCGCCAACAGCTGTGCGTTATCGAGTCACTCGTGTGCGTCATGTAACGGAATCAGTATAGTTAACGGGTCGAGAGGAGCACTATTTCGGCAACGCAGCCGTGGCGTTTCCTTTGCGATCGGTTTTACTCACCACTACGCTTCCAATGTGTTATACAATTATCGGCGTCATCGAGGTACCTGCATAATAGCGGAGCGAGACCTCATGACATAAGGATTGTGTGCCTCTAATATCGCACAAAGGGATCACGCCGCTCCTATATATACGCGACCTTTCTCGTACAGGATGTTCCGCGGGGTTATATAAAGAAACGAGACAGGGATAATTATATCTCCTTATAACGCCCATTAACCGGGCAGAACGAATGAACGCTTGCGCGTTCACTCGCCTGCTTGTTACGTGTATCACCCCGTACGCATAATTAAACAACACTGTGAATTTTTATCTTTGACTGACACCCGAGAAAATATAATCTTATCTTTGATGGAACCCTCTTATGTATACAACCTCAAGAGAGGATTCTCTTAAAATCAAAATAAAATTTGAGCATCATATTCCTAAAGTTGGAGGAGCTTGGTCTTTTATCCGCAAGTTGTTCTAGTAGATATTTCTTTTAGTAAGAGGACATCCTGCTTTAAATAAACATGTTCCTCTTGATTCAAAAAGAGAAAACATTGGAATAATGTCTAGATTTCAGATTACAGTTTACTTTATTAAAGGAATTTTCCATAACTTCTTAGTAATCGAACTAATAGCTAAATCATATGTCTGCACGAAAAAAAAACAGTATAGTTGGCCCACACACAAATCTGACTATGCCAACCAGATTTAATATTGAATCTAATTGATACAATTAGATTTATCTATGGGCCAATCACTGTTTTTCCCATGTGTCTTTGTTTTTCCTTCAAGTTAAGCAAAGATAGACATACGATTTAATTATTGATTAGCTTTTACCAGGAAATTGGAAAAGACCTTAAAAGAGGAATACTCTTTCGATAAGAGTTTTTCTTTAGAATATAGGATTATAGGAAACAGCACTTTGCAACTAGAGTATACTTTTATTGGGTATTAGAATATTTTCCTTCTAGTTCTAGAATAATTCTCCTGAGGTCATATATAAGAGGATGCTGCTAAAAATAAGATTATATTTTTTGCGTGATCAAATATTTCGTTCGCAGTTATTGCTTGTTGGCGTCACGATAAGTGAATTTCTTATCGCGAAGAACAAGGCAGAGAGAAGGCCGGATATCTTATCGTGCTATTTTATCACGCGTCCTATTTTATCGCGCACGTGTCATCTCGTATCATTTCGCGCGTTCGCTACCTTGTCTCGCGACATCACCTAAATAACTACTGGAGCTCTCTCGGTCAAACCGATGACACACAGCGCGAGATTTCTCGTCACGTCCATCGTCGAAGTTCTGTCACGCGACAAGTTTGTTCAGCGACGTTGCTGTCGGTCGAGCGAACTTTTCGCGACTTTTCGCCGGCTTGATTGACGAATTTTCCGCCCTCAACCGACACCTCTAACGCCGCTTCGAAACTCATCGCATCTACGTGGAAATAATACCCGGACTGGGCTGGAGAGCGTTAACGAACAGAGTGTCGTGTATCAGTTGCGCCAATTACGGCCGAGCGCGACCTGGTCTTGTCAGGGGGCTTCAAAGAGACGTTGGTCGCTGTTACGTGTGCATTTCCTCGTGGACATTGTGCTGCGGAAAGCCGCAAACTCAGATTTAATTCGCGGTCCGCGACGGATGGACTCATCCCGCGTTTTCATGGGACGCGTGGTCTCTTTCCTCACAAATCGAAGATCTATGCGTCCCGTGTCTTAAATTCGTCCTGTTGCGGTGGACCTCGATTATCATATCCAAGTTGTGACGTCTCAAAAGCTCTTTTTCTCCGCTCTCTCCACCGCGACAAATTCCGCAATTTCGCCCGACGAATTATCTTAGAATGACACGAGCATCCACGCGACACTCGGCATTTGTTTAACGACACCGGGACGTACCGTGCGGTGTGTCGAGATATCGCGATCAACACAGCAACGGATGGATGAACCCGCTGCCGTGTGTACATATATGTGTGTGTGTGTATGTGCACAGAATGCACTTCGGTTTCTCCAGGACCATCGCGATTACTCCGACGTCAATTATCCGGTGCGTCTCGCCGACACGTTGGTGGCGATTATCAAGCGCTGCGGCGTACCTCCGCGAGAAACGTCGCTCCACCGCAAATGCATTTAAACGTCGATTCCCCTTAACGGCCGATGAAAATAGATGCGGGAAGAAACCGCGCGAATCGAAGCACCTCAATCTGACTGATTAAATCGCCGCTCTCCTCGCTTGACGAGGCCATCAAGTTTGTTGCTTGTGCGCTTGCATTGTTCACGACATCACAACGTGTTTCTCTGCGCGTTTTCGCGCTGATGATTCGAACAGTCCTTCGGCCGTGATTGTTACGGTGTCGCGGATGCCGTTTTATCGCGTTTTTGCCACCAATGCAAACCAAGTTGTCGTGAAAAAAAAGCAGAAAAAAATATGCTTCTTCCATTTGAAAGTCGCGTGTGACTCAAGCAGGTATTCCACTTTCGGTTCTATGGCTCATATAAAGCAAGCCGTCTCTGGCAAAGCACTACGACGCGACCTCATTCATGAATTTCCGGGAGTTTTCTCGTCGGTCGTTTAAAAGTCTCTCTCTCTCTCTCTCTCTCTCTCTCT